GATCTGCTCCCTGAGAAAGTTATTGTGGATGATCCAGAGGAAGGAAGTGTGTCTTGGAGCAGGGAGGGGAAAGACGAGACTGAGAGCGGATTGGAGAGGCTGCTCTGGGCTGCAGCATCCTACCTCCTCCAGGGTCACTGCTACTGTCAGCTGATGGAATGGAAGCAAGCAGTTACCAACTACACTAGGTCTGTGTTTCTGGACTGGTTTTATGCAGATCATTTATGTACAAGATTAGAAATAAACGTACAACATGGTATTCTGCCCTGCAGGTGTATTAACCTGGTTGTGAAGGTGCACTATAAAAGGAGAAGTAGGCTATTTTTTTTTAAAGACATTGTAATATTTAAATATCTAACTGCTCATATTGGCTCTTCAGCTTTAATCTGAATCGCTCTATTCTTCATTACAGGCATCTCACCACAAATTCCCAGTACAGATATTGATGCTGAGCAGGCTGGAGATTTACTTGTCCTCCAAAGACTAAAGGGGCTTTCATTGGCTGGTAGGGGCATCAGCTTTGCTCAGATGAGCCAGCTGAGGGAGGCCCTCAGAGACCTTCAGCTCAGTCTGCAGGCCCACCCAGGTATGTTTATCATGGCTGGAAGTCTAAATAAATATGCATAGCTCACAGTATCCTGAGACCTGATGCAAGTACATATTCATAGTAAGTCTGATGGTACCCTCACAGCACATTTAAAATGGTGCTTAATTTTTCTCTAAAAACTCAGTCCATTAAAAGCAATGCTCTAATTTATCCCTCTATGCTTTTAGCGTTAATTGACCAAATTATTAAAGTACAAGATTTGATTCAGAAAGCTATCTTTAACATAGCATGTAGAGATTTGTTGATGTAGTCGTGTTTCAAGTTTCAGAGATGCTTTCAAGCTTTTCAGCAGATCTGGATCTCAGAAAGAAAGTTTTAGATTGTTGAATGGTAAATGGCCTGTACATATATAGCGCTTTTTCAAGTCAGGAGACTTGATCAAAGTGCTTTACACTGCTTTCAGTCATTCACCGGTTCACACAGACAACATTGTAGCCACAGCTGCCCTGGGGCTCACCGACAGAAGTGAGGCTGACGTACACTGGCGCCACCTGGTCCTCTGACCACCATCATTAGACATGCGTGTCTTTCCCAAGGGCTTGAACTGTCAACCCTTTCAGGGCAAACCCCTACATCCGATGCCACTGTTGCCATACACAAGGCATCTTTCTGTTAACATTTTTTGTGTGACTGCAGTTGTCAATTGTAAAAAATATAGGTTAATGGGAATTCAAATGACCTCCCAGTAAGAGGAAATGTGACCTCTGGTCTATATGAAAGTGGAGCAGATAGAAAAGAAGCCAAGGAAACAATTGAATCCACCCATACATCCAACCTCAACTCAGGTGTCCGGGTTTGTCCCTTTTTGATCACACTATCCATGGCAATTTTTTTATTGTTTTCTTAGTCGCAGGTCAGGGTTCCTACTATGTGGTGATTCAGAACAGACAGCCAGCAGTACCCAAATATGAGAAAACATAAATTGATTGTTTTGAAATGACTCTCCATAAACCCAGAACTATAGAAAACAATGTGGAAAGGAGTACATACTATAGACTCAACCCTTCAAAACTGAATCTTATTGCTTCATATTTTTGTGGGATGCAAATAGTGCTGCAATAGAGTACAAAGTTGATAATACCACTTTTATTTGAATCTGTAATCTACAACAAGGTAAGATTTTTGTACTTGCTAAACAAATAAGGAATGAAATTGAACCTTTTTTATTTTAAGTTATTGTAAACTTACCTCTCTTTTGAGTTTGTGTAAGAACACCAACTAATATCTCTGTACATAAAAGTATTTTGCACCATTGCCAGTGCACCGAGGGTGTCAAAATACAGATGCAAAAATAACCCTGTCTGTATACACAACTATAAAAGGCTGATCAAATGTCTGTTCTCTGCCAACTCCAATCCTCATTGAAGTTGGCATGTAGGCTGTATTCTAGAGACAGAAATGTTAAGAGTGAAAGAAGTCAGAAAAGCACACAAACACAATCTGACAGCAAAAT